TGTTGGTCTAGAGAGTTTTTTAAATACATTATTCTCATTGGTCTAGAGTTTTTAAAATACATTATTCTTGTTGGTCTAGAGAGTTTTTAAAATACATTATTCTCATTGGTCTAGAGTTTTTAAAATACATTATTCTCATTGGTCTAGAGTTTTTAAAATACATTATTCTCATTGGTCTAGAGTTTTTATAATACATTATTCTTGTTGGTCTAGAGAGTTTTTAAAATACATTATTCTCATTGGTCTAGAGAGTTTTTAAAATACATTATTCTTGTTGGTCTAGAGAGTTTTTAAAATACATTATTCTTGTTGGTCTAGAGAGTTTTTTAAATACATTATTCTCATTGGTCTAGAGAGTTTTTAAAATACATTATTCTCATTGGTCTAGAGTTTTTAAAATACATTATTCTCATTGGTCTAGAGTTTTTAATTACAATTCTGATACACAATTTGATTTTGCACAATTTACTTCAAATACACTTATGCTGATGCTTGTGTGTACATGTGATGAATTATGTAAACTCCTGTGGTGTACCAGTCTTGGACAGTGGTATTGCTTCAATATCCTATAATATGGCACTAAAATCAAGGAAAATATATCAACAACTCACCTTCTGTATTTCTTTGAGTAGAACGCCATCAGTCATGAATTTAATTTGAGTTTCTTTCGATACATTACCTTCGTAACGTATTTGGTAGGAAACCTCACTGTTGAGACAGAAAAAACCAGTCCATGCAGATCAATTTATTTAATTAATTGTACTACATCAATAATATAAATTCATATTTTCAAACTTCAAGCTCAAGTATGCTGATTTTACTGAAAGTACATGCATGTTTTTTTCAAAATCTAAGTACAGAATAGATGGCAAGGTTAATGATCAACAGTATGTTCATCTGTATATACACTGTTTGATGTGTGGTTTAAACTTGCAATGTGTAATGACAAAAACACAGTGATTTCCTTACCTGGTTGACAAATTCATTTCATGTGCAACACGTTTTGACATACTTATCGCGGCAACACGGCGTGGCTCTGTCACTGCAATCAATCCGTTTCTATGAACAAAAAATGGGTCAACATGACCTTTTATAAATCTTCTAAATTATAAAGAGTGTCCAACCAATCAACGGATAATAGAACCGTCTATAATTTATATGCAAAATGTCAACTTTGGAAGGAATTTTTTTTACCCATCCCCCGATTACTTATTTTCAGAAAGAATCCAAGTTCTCATGAATTCATTTGCAAGAATTCAAATTCTAACCACATAGTGTGAATTTAGATTCTTGCAATGAAGCAGTGAGGAATTCAAATCCTCTAAGTCTTGAGGAGCAGTACTTCTCATCACTGAATGGCAAAGAATACACACAATTCTCATAATGAGTTATAATTATCATATATCAAGTCTTGCCAAGAGCAAGAAAGATTCTTGCTTCAATTTCACACATTTTTCTAATACATAGTAGTGTAATCTGACACCTTATATACATTTTTACCAGTCCAGAGTACAGGGGTAGTCTATATTAGTTGGTTGAATGATATGTTAAAGACACTCACTGTGCGTATCCAGCTTCATATAAAAACTGTGGTACTTGCGTCGTTTTACCGCTACCCGTTTCACCGCATATTATAACAACAGAATTATGTCTGACGGTTTCCATGATGATCTGCTCTTCTGCTAATATTGGTAACCCCAATCTGGCTTCCTAATAAAAAAAAAACATCCCTTCATATTTAATTTCATTTTTTACATAACACATACACGTGATGATCCTCAAGACAAAATGGGAAACAAATTGAAGAATTCACACAAAGTGATCGGGACAAACAACAGTTGATTATTTAGTGTATAATTAATATAATTATTGTGAAACAAAGTGACTGACATCAATAACTAAGCATGTTGATTTGAAATAGCTGTGCTAATGTTCTAAAAATGATTTTTAAGCCCAAAATGACAAATCAGATCAGAAGCAGCATAATAAAGTCCACATTAATATCATGGAGATTTCATTTTGTTCTAATGTTTGAACAAAATTGGCATAAGAGTAGGGGTAAATACAGTTATACATGTATGTCCACTTTACATCAATGCAGTAGTCAGATTCACCAGAAAATGGTAAGAATTCTTGGGAATTTGAATGGCATGACCAATAATTCAACTCCTAAAAAGTGCCAGAAATTATTATGGACACACAAAATAAAAGATGACTTTCAACTTGGCCATTTTTAATGTGTGTAATAATAAGTTTGACTGATAACAGCCCAGGCAAATTGAAGGTTTCATAATACTCCTCATATTAAAGATGACAATAAATGCATCACACACTGACCTGAATTTCTGAACTTCTATTCACAGGAACAAACACAGCTGGTTTCCTATCTTCTTCACTTATTTCAACAATGTTCTTTACTTTCACTTTTCCATCCGACAGGAAATCTTTTTTCTCAGTGTTTTCACAGTCTTTCACAACAGATTCCTGTTTCTTGAGCTCACTTTTATCACTTTCAGCATCTTTCACATTATCATCTACCTCAACTTGTTTAGCATTCTCTTTCTCCTTGATAATAACTTCTTCTTTATCTGGCGTCTCTTCGTCATCAGTTGACATATCACTCGTGTTGATGTCACTTGAATCAGAGCCATACCGACAGACGCTGTCATCTTCTGTTCGTTTCTTTTTATTGCTTCCACTAATACTGCTGATTTTTAAATCACACGTCTCAAGTTGTCTGCGGAAAATACAAGAATGATATAATGTAAGCGTCAAGTGAGCGCAGCTGCTGTAATAACAATTTTTTTTTTATAAAAAAATTGTAGTTGTGAACAACGGATATATTTTCTGGAAGTTTCAGGAAATCTTAAAATTTTGTATTTGTTGACAATTTACTGAAGTCATTATAACAAGCACTGAAATAAACTGATCAGAAACAACACCACATTCTTATCAAACTCCCTTTCAAGATTCTAGTATTCATGCATACACACACATGTACTCTGTGGTGCATATGTACATTGACAATGGTGTTACGATTTCAGCATATAAATCCCAACAAGCAGATACCCCTAGACAAACCATTTAAAACAAAATTTATGGAGTTAGATTTAAATAAAGTCAGATTTTGGGTGAAAGAAACATGTGAAATATGACAATGGTAAATCGCTGAATTTCCGCATTATTATTTGCTAATGTAGCACACACAGATACAATTTCATTTCAAATTACAAATGAGTGTTGGAGGCAGAGTAATAACAGATGCCTAGGACTATTACCATGTTGCTAGGGAGACTAACAAGGAAATTTTCCAATTCAGTTTACATGTACTCACAGTTTTCGCTATAAATAAAAACCTTTGAGCACTGAAGACAACTGATGTTCCTAATACTAGTAATCTGCACTTTAACAATATAAATAGACAAACCTCTTAGGGGCTTTCACATGTTGACCAATTTTTGCTGTTGATTGAAACATCAACATTTCATCTTTTGAAGCCTGTACTTCTTGTAAAGCAGCCAACAATTCTGCTCTCTAAAAAAAATTAAGTTAGGTTAACAAAAGTATGAGTTGTTGATCACTTACTGTGACTGCAAGAAAGAATGGAGCAACAAATTATACTTCAGCTAGTTATGCTTCCTGTAGCAACACTTTGTGTAATCATAGACCCTCAAACAGAGCAGTGTTGTCGAATCAGCAATCAGTATTGTGCATACAGGCCAGTACAAAAGAGCATCCCAAATAGCAAACCATACAATGTAACCTCCAAATTTGAATATACATTTATTAATATTTACACAGTTAACATAGGCATAATCAAATATGTGGGATTTTTTAAATATATTTTTTTTTTGTCTTTTCCCCTGAAGTACTACCTTTTCAAATATTTTCTCTGCTGATCCATAAAATTTACCATGAAGATGTTTTATTTTAATAAACTTTTAGATGAATGTGTTGAGTTTAAAAACTGCTCGATATTTAGCTGAACAAACATATCAAGTATGAAAAACACAATTTGGCGAATAAAATGGTAGCCCCAAAATTAGATGGGTAATAAAAATACCGGAAGTAAAACAAAATCGTACAGACCTTCTCTTTTTTCTTTCTGTGCTCAATAACCTTTTCTAGTTGCTTCCTTTTCTTTTTACTCAATTTTCTAACTTTCTTTATTTCGTCGAATTTTTTCTCCGATTTGTCCTTCTTGGCTGGCAAAACTAAAGCATTGCTAGTGTCAAAAGTACCGTGCAAAGTCTGATCAAGTTCAACCTCAGGAACATCTACGGGTTCATTCGGCGTGTTTTCTGCAGCGACACGTCGAGCTTTCCAGTTAAACTTGCGCTTAACCTTCCCCATAATCGTTACAATTATACAGTTAATAGTTTGGCGCAGTTGGACTGATAAACAACACAGCGATTAGAGTATACACACACCACGAAACAGACATGTTCTAAAACCATGTGTAAGAGTCCTGCAACACCTGAAATAAACAATTTCACATCTCGCAGTAAACAAAGTAGTTCAGTTTATTAATCGTAGTTTATAACATTTACTTCACAATTTAATCATGTTTACGTGGGGTAAGAAATCATAGAATTCCAAGAGTTACGTTAACACGCGAATATTGTAAGAGATGAACACTACAGAAACCATGTTTTCTAAATATTAATTCGCGAGCGTAATTCAGCTCTACCCAAAATGCCCTGATAATTTCAAAATGGCTGCCGTAGCGGAAGAAGACGATTTTGAGTTGATTGATGATGCACACCTCAAAGACTTGCTAGCGTTTCCACCCGAGGTTCAACAAGCGATCGACCAGGTGAGAAATATTGCGTGGGGATAGTATACACCGAGATTTGAACATAAATCAGCACTGTGATTCAGAGAACCGCGACCGGGTACGGTCGACGAGATGTTATTCATTCTGAGCATAACGCCCCCACCGGCCGGTATGACATTCTGGCAGTGGTCAAGCTTGCAAAGGCACCCGATAATATTTGTAACTCATTTACTGAGACCTGATTTTTTGAACCGTTAAAATTAATAATTATTCCAATCACGTTGCCATGTTTACGCGAAATAACAGAGCTATATAAATAGCGCCACAGAGGGGTTGGACTTTATAATTCTGTTCATATCTATGCCCATAAGTAAACCTTAGCTAGAATACGGTAACCCAGATAGAATGTTATTTACCCACCAAGGCAAATGCTAGGCTTTTTTATGTCTGAAGTACAATCTTTAGTGGGTGTTGCTTGAAATTTCCAAATATACCTTAGTCTGATTGATAGCTCTTACCTAACTAGTGTGAAGGAAATATTTCACTCTTATTGAAAGGCACCAAGGCAGGTGAGGCACCTCTTGAATCCTCTATATGAATTCTTCTGCAAAACCTAGTCTTCACTGGAAGGTTTAAAGAGTAGACTATGTGACATCTGTTTCTATATAAATCTAGATAAACTTTCATGTGTATTTTCTCTTCTAGGTACTTCCCAGTAACGATCCTTTAGACAGACCTGATTTCAATGCCGTGGATTACATTAATCAGCTGTTCCCCACTGAACAGGTAGGAGTCAACAATGCTTGCATTTCATGAAAATATGAAAGTACATGTGTGTGTGTGTTTTTTGTCTGTACTTATATATTTTATACTTTGGACATCTCTGATTACATTGTACATTTTGTGTATGGAAGTAGAATTCTAGGAACTGAAAGGTTAATCAATTAATTGTATGTTCTGTTGTGGATCTGGTTTTAACGATTCCTGAAGTCACAGGTCTTGTTTCAAACAATGTGCTAGATATGTAGTATATGTGGGCGAGGTTACAGTGTACAGAAAGGTGTAAACAGACTGTAACATGAACAGTGCCATCACGTGTCATAAATGAGTGAGGAACTATGACTTTGTTCATTTCAGTCATTATCAAATATTGATGATGTCGTCAATAGGATGCGACTAAAGATTCGTCGCCTGGATGATGATATTCGATACGTTGTTAGAGGTCAGACAAATGCCGGACAGGATGGGAGAGAGGCACTTGAAGAAGCGCAGAAAGCGATTCAAGAGTTATTTAGAAGAATTAAAGACATCAAAGAGAAAGCCGAACAGTCAGAACAGATGGTGTGTAGCCAATGTTATTTCTGTTAATTTAAAAGCACTCAACTGTTTTTTTTTGTATCACTACATTGTATATACTTAGTGTTTATTTGCCATGGATTGAGATCATTCAGGATCTAAAATATTTTAGAATTCAGTTTTAATAAAACAGGGTTCCCAGAAAAGTCTGTTTCTGTAGGAACCCTACGAAATTATTCTTATAATCCATTCCATCACACGATCATAAAAAAAAAAAAAAAATTTAGGTTTTTTTCTTTTTTAAGGGGTTAGCATACGTTCGCTGGTTCAATTTTTTGGCCTCAATTTACAGACTGAAACATACATTTTACCCACACATGTTATATATCATAATAAAGATCTTGTTTCAAACTTTGAAAATATGGCAATTTTTTTAAATTATGCAAATACCAAGTCATGTGATCACAAGAATACGTGAAAATGGAGTAAAACGGTTAATGACGCAATTAATAATTAATTTGCAGCACGACTGAATATATTTTTTTATGTAAATATTATAGAAGGGTGCTTCATGTATAATGTTCTTCGTTTTTTGGCAACTATAATTTGTTTTTATGTAGCCTTATTTCAAATGTTTGGACGTTAATACCTGAGTAAAAACAACATGTCTCTATATTAAAATAAGCAAAAAATCAAAACGAAGGCAGACAGAAAAAAATCCAGAAACATTCCTCCAGTACTCTATATAGCGGTAAAGTTGACCAAAAATGGCGACGATCTGACCTTTCGTTTGTTAGAAATTGCGTACTGAATCTGTAGAACTACGTAGAAATCAATTTCAAGATAAATGCTTTTAACTCTTGTGCAATTTTCATTGCAGGTTAAGGAGATAACGCGTGATATAAAGCAACTGGACCATGCCAAAAGACATTTGACATCATCAATCACGACATTGAATCACTTACATATGTTAGTGGGCGGTGTGGATTCCTTAGAGTAAGTCATAGTCAAGGGTAGATATTCAAGAGCTTCCAAAGTAAATATATCTAACTACGGTAACCACAATTACATTTTGTGTGTTTGACCTTCACTGACTTTGATATTTCCATGATGACTTAAATCACATTTTATAGTTGTACATTATATTATTGTGTTCTGTGCACAGCTCCCTTAGCTCTTGTTAAGACTGTTTGTGAACACATAACACAGGCTAAGAATCTGTATAGGTTAAATTTGATCTGTTTTTAAGACCTGGTCCTGAACATACATGTGTAGCATGGGCTAATAAAGTGTATGTAAACCCTTAGCTTGTAAACCCAAAACGCCATTGTATTCAATGTTCATTTGGAAGATTTACTGTTTTACTCCTAATTATTCATTTCGGTATGTCACTTTTGACATGATGAGCGATGCGAGCACATCCAGAGATATTATTGAAAAAAAAATTGGACTGACAATGATACTCGGGAAGTATTAGTTATTTTGCAATCTGAACTTTCTGAATTGGCATTCTTTTATAACCATAGAAATAACATTTATACCTTCTCAGTAATCATAGTTGAAAAAACTGAAGATTTGTATATTATTATTTAGTGTTTTTTAGCCCATGCTAATTGTCGCTTTTTTCTGTGAGCGCAATTGGGACTAGCCTATATGCAAACACCTAAGATTAGCTCAAATCTTAGACCATACATGGTATAGCGTGAACACGACTCATAATGACCTCATAATGGCGGTGTATGACCAATGTAATTCAAGGGATTAAGTACCTTGGTGTTGGTGTGATTTGTTTTCAGGTCACTCATTAGAAAACGGCAATACAGGGAAGTAGCCAATCTACTACAAGGAGTCATCAATGTCATGGAACACTTTGAGAAATATATGAGTATACCACAGATCAGACAACTGTCCGATAGGTAGGTAGATACATGTGCCTATGGCAACTGGTTTCGAAATTTGGTTGTCCCATGACAATTACAAAGTCTGCAAGTAGAACCTTAGTTCACATCCCACCACTTCCCGGTCTCATGGTTTAGTCTGTATGTGTGTGTGTGTGCGTCAATCCATCTGTCCATCTATCAAGACCTATATCTCAGACATACTTTGACTGATTCTTTTCAAACATTGCATCTGCAACCGATGGCCATTTTTTGTTGTAAAAATACATCACTAAAATCAGGTATTTTGACATACCCAGAACAATTTACTTAAAATTTAGTTAAGGATTAAAAAAAAAACATTAAAAGTAGTTGATGCACACCACTTTGATTTGTAAATTAGATTCAAGATGGATGACTGATGACCATTTTAGTTCTAAAAAAATACCTAAAATCAGGTACTAGTATTTTGACACACAGGGGACTGCTTGTATTATTTATGAGTCTGGTGTCTAAATTTATGATTTCCAAAATCAATGTGTAATATTTTTCACATTACGTCTATGCTTTTGGCAGGATGAAACACATCCAGATGGAGGTAGGTCAGCAGGTCATTGCTGATTTTGAAGAAGCTTTCTCTGGACAAGGAGGAAAGGTAGATATTTACACTCTCCTGGTATTACCTGTTATTTCCTAACAGTTTTTTCATGCACCATACCGCACCAATGTTTCTGATCTCGATGGCAATTTTCATTCACCATGTGCCGAGTTACAAAAATATCTTTTCTCTTTGGAGAAAATAAAACAATGTTTTATGACAGAAGTTACATTGTCGTTGATTTCAGAAATGCTTTAACAATGAACACACACAAATTTTCACAAAAAATATGCACATTTTATTACATTATTATTTACATAACATCTGAATTTATGATGTGAAAATTATTAGGGTCTCTGGGAAAAGTCAAAATCTTGCTCATTATCTTTTTTGTCAAAAGTTTTTGATCATTTTCTACATGGTTTGACCTGCAACAATGTCTGTGTCCAGGAATTCCCGAATTTTGGTGTGGCTTTTTTATTTTAATATAATGCAGAAGTGAATGACTGATGTTGAAATATGATCTATTAGCATTGCATTCATCAGAAGAAACAACGTCATTTAATAAAAAAAAAAAAAATGGCAATTTAGAAAGATAAACTGAGTACGGAAGAAGTATATGACACCTTTCACAGTTGTCAACAGGCAGAGGTCATTGTGAAACTGTAGTTTACCATGTTTAAATCCCATTAATACTGGTAATACCGTAGTTGATAATCACTATTTATGCTGTAATTTTATTATTCAGGAAAATTAAGACAATGATAATGACCAGTTAAAACATGACAGTCAAATTTGGGGAATTTAGTAAGGGATGGGCATTAAATTTAACTTGACTCCAAAAATAGAAATCGGACAAAAGTTTGGGATTAGCACTTACACAAGAATGAGCAACAAGTTGTTCAAGTATGGCATATGAAAATTATCTTGTTTTCTCACACATAAACAGACTAAAAATGTTTGTCTGCATTTCCTCCACAGCCTTTAGGACCATATGCCCTTTTAACTGAGGCCTGTTTAGTACTTAATGTACTGGATCCCAAATACAAGTAAGTAGTACAGAGATTGGTCAAACCTTATGTACATAAATTCCAAATATACTCAGTAGTCAGACTACTAAATTTTATCCTTTCAGTCAACATGGAGCGAGTGGTGTATGACTGCTTTTGTTCATTATCCAGGATCCCATTTTTCACTTTTTTCTGAAAACTGATGTTCAGTTTAATTACATATTTGGCATGTACAGTGCATTCACCTTTCCACGGTGTTCCACATGCCTCAAACAGCATTCTGTGCAAATAGCATTGCAGCAACTCAAACCGACATGTTGCTGTTCTCTGTCACTAGTCAATATTCAGTCAGAAAATGTACATCTGTGATTACATATACGGAAAGAAAGTCAGAAACATTGCTAAATTAAAAAAAATAGAAGAGAAAACAGTGCAGACCAACACAAATTGCCAGACTAGCAAGGATATTATAACCTTTGATTGTAGAAAGGTGAATTGGATAGACCATGCTCATTTTCATTAATGTGTTTTAACATCTTTTCATGTGATAATTAGTTTTGTGAGGTTTGATCAAAATGGTATTTTTGACTTCTGTAATTTGACTAAATGAATGCAAATAAATAATTTCATGAAATAAATAATTATACAGTTATTATGAGAATAGCAAAAATATACACTATGACAAATAAATAATTCTTTGCTTTCAACAGAAAAGACCTATTGAAATGGTTTGTGAGGCTCCAGTTACAGGAATATTTAGTGCTGTTTCATGAGAACCAAGACGTTGCCTGGTTGGATAAAATTGACAGGAGGTACGCTTGGGTTAAACGGACACTGGTGGAGTGCGAAGAAAAGTTTGGCAGATTGTTTCCCTCTGAATGGGAAGTCAGTGAAAGGATTTGTGTGGAATTCTGTAATATAACAAGGTGAGAGGTCAAATAGTATATCAAGATGAGGGGTCAAACAGTATAAAAGGTATGAGGTCAAATAGTATGACAAGGTGGGTGGTCAAATAGTATAACAAGGTTGGAGGTCAAATAGTATAAAAAGGTGAAAGATCAAATAGTATAAGAAGGTGAGAGGTCAAATAATATAAAAAGGTGACAGGTCAAACAGTATAAAAGGTGAGATATACAGATACATTGGTTTGACGATCTGGTGGCCATTTTTGTGCTAAAAAATCATCAAAATCAAGCATTTCCCGGCTGTTTACAGATGGATTTTGTTCAAACATTGTATATACGTTGGATATTATAGGACCTTGGTGCACATCATTTTGTTTTATGATCTGATTCAAGATGGCCGAATGGCAGCCATTTTTGTGCTAAAAAATCATAAAAATCAAGCATTTCTCGGCTGTTTTACAGATGGATTTTGTTCAAACTTGATATATACATTAGACATTATGGGACCTTGTTTTATAGGACCTTTCATGTAATTCATGTTGTATTATTCGATGAGGAACATTGTGATTATTACAGTGATTGTAGTATTATTTAAGAAACATAAATATTAATTAATTTTTTTATGATGAATGTCTTAGATAATATATTATTACATTGTTTTCAGGCTTTTTATACTCACTTTTGCCACGCATAGAAAAGATATTGCATTCTTAGTTTGTTTTCCGTCCTCACATTTGTTATTTAATAAAGGGTTTCAATTGACGAGGTGTTTATATAATGTCACTTATACATGCCATAAACATACTCAGGCGTTTCAATTTTTGTCTTTTTTTCTGAAATAGAGAGGAATTGTCCAAAATCATGGCCAAGAGGGCTATTGAAATAGAGGTCAAACTGTTATTATTTGCCATTCAAAGGACAACAAATTTCGAAGCATTATTAGCAAAGCGATTTAGCGGTACTACTTTAGGTGACGATGGCAGCGTTGCTGCAACACCCGATACTGAAAAACCTGTTTCTACTAACCCATTTGAAATGGACGATGAAGAAGATGACGAAGAAGAAAAAGAAAAACCTGAAGTTAAAGTATGTAGAATAAAACCTGTCCCAACTGAATCATGTTGTATAAGAAATTGACTTGCCTAATCTGAACATCTTTTCCATTTTATTCCCTTCTACACTTCTAAAAAAAACTGTATACTTGATAATTCTGTTGGCTTCGATTCACTGTATTGTAGTTCTTCTATTAGGAGCAAGCGAGAGAACAAACAGTAGGGTAAAACTAACCTGTCTCACGACGGTCTAAACTTCCTTATACTTTCAATAATTAATGTGTTTGTGTTTGGATTTAAATATTTTGACGGCTGGTGTTGAATGTCATATGGCAGTTTGTTCAAAAACCGAGAAAGTTGATCACCACATGTTACTAAATTTAAAGATGGTACCACCAGATAGATTGGATGATATTAAACTTTATTTACTTGGTACTTTGGACCTGTTGCTGGCATACACCAAGCATTAACTAAGATATCCAGACCCACGTCAAGCAACAGAAGAAGTTGAAATAGACAAACAAATACAACATACTTGACATGTGCCTATACTCACAGTTATCAATTAATTAATATGTATGCAACTCACTTGTATTGCTTTATAAATACTTTATTTCAGACGGTAGTGAAAACCAAGCCTCCAGCATTCTGTGGTATAATATCTCGATGTTTTGAACCTCACCTACAGATCTACATTGATGCGCAAGACAAGTAAGTAATATTAATTAATAATTTATAAAATCCAACTTATGTGTTCTGTTGATTAAAAGCTGTGATACTGTAAAGTGGGTGATTATTATCAGGGTTTAATTTTCGCGTATTTAATGCAAACTAGAAGTGAGTGAAATTAAAACACCGCCATTTATCATTGTCGTCACTGGGACAGGAAGTCGAACACACCAGTACATGTAGGTACTAGTACTAGTATAGGGTATTGGGTGACCAATTTTCATTCATCCACACATTTATAATAAAATAAGAAATATTACTATTCATCTTGTTTTATTGTACATACAGAAATAAATTATTACAATGTTAAATATTATTTTCCAAATGTAAATAAAGGCGAGGACGTGACTGTAAATACTAGTACAAGAAAATTCAGAGTTCTCTTACTGAAAACAATTCAGAATTCCAGCTTGTGCAAAGCCTTCTACAAGTTGTTCACGCTGTTGGGAAATTTGCTGTACTGCACTGACCAACCGTTTTGCATGAAGTGGTTTTATTTCACTTAGCCGTAGATCTAACGTTGATGTTGGATCATCAACAGAATTGCCCAATGCAGAGCATACGCGATCTCCGTACCATAGCTGAAATTCTCGCTTCATCTTGTCCTTGAAGACTTTGTTTGCTGCTAAATCCAAGGGCTGCAGGCGATCTGTACATCACAAATACGACAGAGATGTTATTTTCACAGAGTTTATTCAGTAGTTCTTCACCCCGATGTGCCTTGTACACATCAAAAATGGCGACGGCTTGTTGTGTGGGCGGTAACTGCAGCCTCGCTCTCGTTGCCTTAACGTAGGGGATAAACACCTTATCGATATATCGCATCATAGAATCGTGATTAAAGTGTGGAAAATGTCCCAAGACTCGAGAAATTTGTAGTTAGCATGAAAACGATCGGTTTTTCCCTGATGAAGTAGCTGTGGTGGTAAAAACTCGCCCGTAGCAGACGCGGCGAATACAGCTGTTATTTGACGCTTGTCATCGAGGCCGGTTATTGACACTTGGCGACTCCCCTCTGCTTCCATGGTCCATTCTCCCGCGGGAATAATGGCAACACCGGTCTGGTCCAAATTGATGACAAGCTCTTGGGGAACATTGTATTTTTCCACAGTCCCCTAGATACCATTCAGAAATTTTTCTTTAACAGCTGGAAAATCACTAACAATTTTTAATCACAGTCCACGCTTAAACTTACATGGCCTCCATATTTGTCCAGCAAACTTTGGTTTGACGAATTTACAACACCACCTTTGATGCGAAGTTGAGTACATAGGATTGTACTTTAGAGTCAAGTTCATCACCTAACATTACAGGACGTCCACGCTTTGCTGGTAGTTTGTTGATGTTTTCGGTTTCGTAGCAGGCCTCTTTTAGGTAAAACCTCTTCATACCACAAACGGTACTTTCGCTGATCGGCTTCCCAAATTCCTTACTGAATTTTCTCTTGGCATTCATCACTCCATTGTTGATTGCAAACTTTGCAATTTTTTCACTGGTTGTGTCATCATAGTGCTGATAATTACCACGTTTTCGTTTCCTACTTGCTATGGTGATTTCTTCGTTTATCACTGAAATTGCATCAGGAGGCTTAGCTTGCTTTTTTCGATGTCTTCTGTGTTGTTCGAATCGAGCAAACCTGGTTCAGTTTGAAAAGGCAGTGGTGCTTTCTTTAACCAATGCATCAGGCTGCCAGCCATGATTAATTGAATTGTAGTATAAATATTAGTGAGCAGCGAACGTAATGCGTAGAGCGATATCCTAAAACTAAACCCTACTTTATACTGATTTAAGCTAAACTTCCTGCTTGTGGTTGGTTGTTTACAAAAAACAATAGCACATTTTATTTTCATAAAAAAAGTTTGAAAATCACAACAATAAACAAAAGGCCTAACAACTGAGCAGACAGGACGTGAAACAGATGAACATTTACGTAGCTGGTTTTGATTATGTACTCAGTGCGTGAAATTTAAACACCGTTAAATTGTCAAAATCACGAATGCGCTAAAATTTAACCCCGTCAAGTATAACCACTTTACAGTATTAGGTAAAGGACTATAAAGTAAAGGAAGAAGAGGATGGGAGCTTCTGATGGTTTGCTCATACCAAGTGTTGTTATATCATCATTTATTAGTTGGAATTATTCACCAATGTCTTGTTTAAAGTAAATGAGGTATGGGGTGATATGGGTTTGGAAAGGATTGATAAAATTGTGTTTCTCGTGAAGATATTTTGCTTCATTTCAATTGTTAATCTTCAATTCTTGCCTGTGTTTTTTATTTCTTTGTCATGATAATGTGCTTGAGAATAGAGCTAATATTATATGTCATGATTATATTTTTTTGTAGGAGCTTAGGAGAGCTCATTGATAAATTCGTGGCTGACTTCAAAGCTTCAGGGCACCCTAAGCTAGAGACAGGAGACGGTGGCACTATTTTACCATCCTGCGCCGATTTATTTGTATATTACAAAAAGTGCATGGTACAGTGTTCACAATTGAGTACGGGCAAGCCACTGTTATCACTCACAGCTACATTCCAGAAGCATCTTAGAGAGTATGCAATTAAATTACTCACAAATAATTTACCAAAGTAAGTGAGTTTTTATTTTATATTTAATTTTGAGGGGGTAATTATGTAATATTCATATTTTATCACTTGATATCACATGTTCGAAGAGCCGGTCGATATGATGTCATAGACTGTATTATCCACAAACCAGAAGTTGTGTATAAGATATCCCATGATGCTATTCTCAAATTTACAGGTGATTTTTACTAAACTACGAATTGCTTTTAGCATTCTTTGATAGGTCAGCGGAATGTGTTTTCAAAAAAAAAAAAAAAACGCGAGTCTGCGTTATTACGAATTGGCCTCAATACAACATGACGTTATAACCGCTACACATATGAATGCACAAATTGGATCAGCAAATTACGAATATTGCAAAATGATCAAAAACTGCTTTTACAGTTGATCTGTTGGTGAAAAATTGGTGTCATTTTTTTGTTCATGCCATTCCATCCATTAATGATGATACAGAGTATGAGTAATTACATGTGAAGATACTCCAATTGCAGGTCAAGCTCTACAAGCGGTGGTCTCTCCACTGGTGGTTTGAGTATATCAAGTTTATTGAAAGACACGCCCAGTGATATCACAAAGTTTACAGAAAATGAACAGAGACTTGTCTGCTGTATCTTATGTACAGCTGATTATTGTCTAGAAACAACACAACAGGTCTGTATCTTCATTGTTATGCATTCATTTGGTGGTGCCATTTTCCATGATCAGGAGAACTCAAAGCGTCGCGATAAAAGAAGGACGGAAAATTAACCGTCTGTTCCAATTATTGCTTTAGAAAAGGATACAAACAACTTTTCTCTGCCTATTTTGTTCTCATTTCCTGTTATTCTTGGACAAAATAGAAATTAACAATTCTAATAGACAATATTATGTATAATAGACCGTGTCATTTTTACTTTATATTGCTAAAATGTCATAAGAGACAAATTTTTCCTTGAATTTCATGAATCAGTGAAAACAGCAAAATTTTGTAGCAAGGAAAATATTACTGGGGTCCTACAACACAAAGTGACAAATGCCATCAAATCGTTATAATTCCCAGCAGTGAAAATTAGACTCTGTAGAGTACGTAATGGAGACTGTCGACAGTCGGTCTCACCTATTATTAATCTGTTATTATTAATAAATATTGTGTATAAACGTAATAGGCGCGAATAAATTGCGAAAGCCGGGATAGGAAGTATGGAGTGCCGTTATGTAAGATGTCTTACCAGATCCGGGTACTTTTAATATGCAAATGAATATTCGCGCAGATGTCTATCAATTTATCGTGGCCAATCAGGAAAAGGGTCAGGGGTCGCTGGCTACTAGGATCACCCATAAACGCGAAGTTTGTTTTGACTGTACTATACGTGATCGCGACACTTTCCACAGCAGTTTTTGATATCATGACACAAACAGATCCTGACAAATGCATTATAAAAGTGCTGGAACGTTTAGACTACCATGATATTTCTTGCAAAGAATACCAGCGAGACACTGTCGCAAACTACACAGAATGAAGAGATGTGTTTGTCTACATGTCGTGTTGACATACGCCTTGTTAAAAAGAACTCGTTCCAAAACCGGGGTCCCCCACTTTCAGTTGCCATTCTCTTAGAGGAAAATGCCTGCGACCTTTCCAATAACTCTCACTTAGTTTGTTGAAGTTTCTTCCTGAACTTATCCATGTTTTCATGCGGAGTCAACACTCTCAGTCCCTCAAAACAGTATCCTCCAGTTTTCTATATTTTCTATTTGGCTGCCACAAACAATGCACATTGTTTCCTTGGTTCTAGGCGATTTAATAATTTAATAATAATCTATTTTGGTTGGAGTTACTGTATTCATTGTGTTCATAACGAGGACAACCAATGCATTCAGGGGTCATTTAGAATAAATTTGAATATAATATGTTAATATAATTTATTATGTGACGTCAGCATCAACTATGAATTATTCAAATCAACTAGACACCTGCAGATGGGGACAGTCTCTTGGAACTAAAGTCCCTCGCGTGAAATGATTAGCGTTTCCCATCAAACGCCTTCGGCATTCAAATATCTAGGAAACACAATTACATTAGACATGAAGACTGTCGACAGTCTATACGCAATGATGTGCTGTAACTGAAGTCAATCCCCATAAAAGTACCAGGATGTGTGACCTATAGGGTCATTGACAATTGATATACTCTGTTTCAGTTAGAAGATAAATTGAAAGAAAAAGTTGATTCTTCTTTATCAGATAAGATTCATCTTAGTGGGGAAATGGACGTCTATCATAAGTAAGTTGAGTGGTGCTAAACCAAAAGTTTGTCGTTTTTTTTTTAACATTTGCTGGCTTTGCTATGTTTGTCACTAGCATCCTTGGCCACTCTAGTGTCAAGATGATGGACGTCATTTTTTAAGTCTGACTTTCACATTTCATGATAACTAATAATGGGTTGTTGGAATGGAAATTTGCATAAAACGTGAGGTATTTATCAATACTTAACATGCTAATAAAATGGTCATGATTGATTGCTAACATTCAAGTGTAGCATTACTTGTTTATTTGCTGATGCGATCTATGGTTTCATATCACGTGAGTAATGTTTTTTTTTTCTCTGATGCCTTTCTCTGCCAATATGTGTAGCAGAGCTATATATATATATATGGACTTCTTTGCTGCAAACTGTCAATGAATATGATGATGAGATATTAAAATCACATTAAATTTGATTTTTTTCAGTGTTATATCTAATTGTATTCAGTTATTAACTCAAGACTTAGAAGCATCATGTGAGCCAGCTCTTATAGCCATGAATAAGGTAAGTTAGTATGTTCACCTATCTGGGATTGTGGTAAATATTTTCTTCTTGAATACGAGTGTATTTTGAACACACTTGTGGACAAAGTCTAATTACTGGGACCATTTCAGCATCCTCAGATACATGTACTCAATACCAATGACCTGAAAGTTACATCTCAGAAAGCAAATTTAAAGCGTGTCATGCCACATGTGTGTGAAATATGTTAATAAACATTGATTTTCCCACAATCCAATACAAGTTTTAATCCTGACAGTGATATATATTAAATACCGACTTTGACTCTGGCATATTTGTTTATATATTCGTTTTTGTACAAGAAAGAGTTTTCATGTAATAACTTGCAGCGTTTTTGGACTACAGATAAACTGGTCAATGGTAGAGACGGTTGGTGACCAAAGTGGTTATATCACGGCTATTACAACTCATATAAATAAGACTGTGCCGATAATAAGGGATAATCTAGCATCCGCTCGGAAATATTTCACGCAATATTGTATCAAATTTGTCAAGTAAGTCATCTAGTGACTGGTTGAAGCTACCTTTTGTTTTTATTACCTCTGAGAAAATGAGCACACCAGCTGCAACTTTGGGTTTAGTTAGCGAACACAGTAAAGCATTAAATAATTAAAATAGATTTGGATTTAACATGTCATGTATTTGCCTAATAAAAATTAAAAAAGGGAGGAAACGTGACAACCATTATTGTTTTTGAGAATTCCTATCTAAAATTATTTCAAAAGTGAGAAAAAAATATCTGTCCCTGCCACCCCCTGAAAAACCATAAACTTGGACCAGTTGACTTTATAGTCAATGTTTTTTTGTTTCTTTCAGTTCATTCATTCCAAGGTTTATTAATCACTTATTTAAATGTAAACCAGTAAGTACAGTCGGTGCTGAACAGTTGTTACTAGACACCCATTCTTTGAAGACAGTATTGTTAGATCTACCATCAATTGGCTCAACGGTGGCGAGAAAGGCACCAGCAAGGTAAGTGTCATCCATACTCTATTGGTTGTGTATATTTCTATGTGGTGTACACGGAGACTTTGTTTGAGATCTGATTGGATAAATTTGCTAACTGAATATCAATATTTAATGCTTGTTGTATTGTGTTTTTATTGCAGTTATACGAAAATAGTAGTGAAAGGAATGACTAAAGCTGAAATGATTCTAAAGGTATGCAATGGTTTTTCTTGGAGAATGGATGAACATGTATATTATTAAGTGTTCTATATATTATATGGCGGAAAGACTATATTCTCTTTCTTAAAAATAAGTATAAGCAGAGGTACATTACTTGGGGTTTGCAACGCGCATAATACTATATGGTGACATCATGCCAAGATCCCATTCAAGTCTCATCTCGTAGATAGTGAGACTGATGCTACGACCTTCTGACATGGAATAGGCGGTTTGTAATAATCAATAAAACATGTATTACCACATTCATAGTGAAAAAATGTAATACATCGAAAATGTACAGAAAATATAGTTATCGTAAACCGTCATATCGTGAGCATCTATTTTGATCTACCTGGACATCCCAGTATCCTAGTTACCTTGGGTATGCGCATTCACATTTTTCTGAGTTGGAATGCTTATGCGAGAGCAAGATTGAAACGGGATCTTGGTATCATGTCACCGTGGCTGCAAACCCCAAGTAATGTACCTCTGGTATAAGTAAAATAATGTAATTTTTTTTTCATGAACTATATCCTTCTATGGACAGAGAGTAGAGCACAAAACAAATATTTAATTTCAGTCAAACATAATTAGGAGGAACTGTTGTCCTTGAACTGGTCATCTTTGGCAAAAACTATTAACAGGTTTTATCCTATTGTATAAACAATATTTTATTAATATGATCTAAGTAAAGTTTGATTCTGTCATTTGTTGTATGTACATTTTTCAAGGTATTGTTGACATTTACCTTCAAATTGTCTTTTTCGTGTGGTGACAATGACTTTTTGTCTGATCAACTTCAAACTTGAAAATCTTATCAATCACTGTAAAATGTCAACCAATTTCAATGTTAGTGTCACTAGCATCTGTAATTTTCAAAATATGGCTTACAATTTGAGCATTACCGTGTTTGTTTTTGTTCTCAGGTTGTGATGTCTCCCCATGATCCACCACAGTTATTTGTTGACAACTACATCAAACTGATTGCTGATAGTGACACGACTAGTTTTCAAAAACTGCTGGAAATGAAGGTGAATATTGAATGTTAAAATGTTGTTTACTAAAAAATAGTTTATTTCTTAATGTTTTTACCACCAAACTTTCTTGTCCAAATTTGTCAGCACTTTTTTCTCATATTCTATATTTCTGGAAATGAATTCTAATTTTGAAGCATACATGTACAGACAAAATTTCAGTAAGTTTTCAGTTTTCACCTAAAAAAATGTGGCTATTTTTGTCCCAATCTTGCGTAGGAAAGTGCAGACTATAAACTACTGTAAAACATGTCGAAAAAGCGGCACGCAATTTTAGCGAATTGTGGTAAAATGATGTAATAGCGAAATGTTGATTTAGCGAATCTCTCTTGTCATTGTCGATTTCTTTGTTTGGCGGCCATTTGGAATTGATAATAAAGTCATTAGCGACATCTTGAATTAGCGAATCAGTTCTCTCACTAAATTCGCGAAAAAGATATACTCACGAAAAAGACATGTGTTACAGTATTTTGTGAATTTGTGATGAAAAGAGGGAACTGGTGGTGAATAGGTTAATATAATATGTATATCATACTCAAAACAAATACCATGTCATATTTCAGTATCAAGCAGAGACAATAGCAAGATTCTGACCCTGCGAATTCACCCATCCATATGACGCTAATGAATTAAATTAAAATTGTAAATACAGTGCTCGATCTATAAGATTTTGGTACATTGCACATATAATTGTGTACACTGACAGCACTATATTTACGTATTTCAGGCTTTAAAAAGAAGTGACCAAAGTGTCATGCTGGATATATTTCGTCAGCGATTACCAACACCACCGGCAGGAGAAGGAACGCACACACCCCAGAACGCTAGTCGGGAACAAGAATCAAGTAGAATCATGAAACTAGAAAAATTAATTAAAAGATTATAATTATTTATTTGTATCAAAGAATTAAGTTATTTACTACCGATACATGTGGTTTTTTTGCATGTCTAATGATTTATAATATTGCATATATGACTTCTAGATTCATCACCAGCAACACCTGCCCCGGATGTTTTAGTCATATCCCTTGAGGGGAGGTGATTGTCATGCCATGTATTTACAAAATATACCAACAAAGATGGCGACTTTGAGTGTTGCACAAAAATTTAACAAATATTACAAGAAGTCAAAGTCTGTATTTAGTGCATATTGCAACCTAAGTCAAAACTTTGTGCTTGGCACTGGGAGAGTGCATTGAATTGTGGGAAAACAAATTGTCTATCATCTTCCATGTGTGGTGCGACGACCACCACTATTTAATAGTCACTTATTCCAAAAACAGCTGTTAGTAATGTATTTCTGTGCATTGTCAAATCAATTGCAATTTCCTGTATGTTAATAGATGCCAACAATTGAAATACATAAGGCTGCTATGCTCTATGAACCGGCCATTGTTTATACCTTCAATTACTGCATGTGCTGCTAATTGTAGTGTAGCCAGGGTGTCATTGCATAGCAGTAGTGCATTTAGTCATGGATCTATATTTAGTAAGGGTGGGATATGTGTAAGGAGTTGGCTGCACTCTAATTGAACAGCAGTAATGTGTTTTAAATGATAACATTGTACTTTTGTTCATCCAACCACCTAAAATCACGTAGTTAGATCTTTCTGATAATCCCTTTAATGTGACAGTCCCACTTTTCAAATGCTTGGTTTTGAAACAGTGAATATAATGTATATATTGTAGTATTGCAAGAAATAAAACCATTTTTTTGGGGGTACACTGTTGTGGTATTCAACACTAACATTGTTTAATGCTTTGCTTTAAAATGAACATGCATTCAAAAAATATATTCACCGGTAGTGTAGTGGTGTGCTATTGGGCTCGCAATCGGTAGACACAAGTTCAAATCATATCTGTGGTTGAACACCAAAGTGTCAATGACTCCGAATGAGTGTGTTACAGACTTAATGCGAAGGCCTAAACCACTGGTCAAGAATAATTCACTCCAGAATATGACTTTGGGGGAATCTTGTTTATGGTCAACAGGTGTTTGTTTTCGACTTGGACTGGTTGTCACTGGGATATTACATTAAATAATGCATTATAATGATATGAAGATGTGATCATGTAGTCCCAAACATTGGTAATGACATCTGTAGTGATATCTGCCTCATCGTCACATTAGTATTAGTTGTCTTAGTACTCTCCATGTACTCTCCAGTAAGGTCAATATGACATATAAAATGGTGCTGATATGAATATGCTAATTTTCTAAAAAATCGATGACTGTTATACATTACAACACTGTTGTTACAACAACGAGAGTGAGTGTACCATATTGAAAAAAAATATATATACTGTCGGCACACCAAGTTTCATTGAAACCAAAATGAAGCTACTTAGAAGATTTGCTTGATTGGTCATTTGACCATAACCCCCAACACCTGGATAAATCAGTAGCTTGCTTGTTGACAGGGTTGTTTTCGACTGTCAAATTCTGCCCTGTATAAATACCTCGATTGTGTCTTTTAAATTGGCCTAGTCTGCTTCAAAAATAGTTGATAATGATTTGACACCCAAAATGGCCATAATAGTATTAGTCTGAATAGCCATGATATCAATTGTTCTTTCACTCCAATGCGGGAGTTAGCTTTTGGTGGATGTTTAGGATTGGCTTTTGGTGGATGTTTAGGATTGGCTTTTGGTGGATGTTTAGGATTGGCTTTTGGTGGATGTTTAGGATTGGCTTTTGGTGGATGTTTAGGATTGGCTTTTGGTGGGTGTTTAGCTTAAGTTCTAATAGCATGATATAAATTACAAAACCATCGGCCAGTGCAACTTTACAGGTTTTTTTGTGAGTGACTTCTATAGTTTGATAATTTATAAACCTCTCACGTACATGTAGTTATTCGAGTGAACAACCCCGAGAAAGAGCCTTTCCATGGAGCCTTAGATGATTGTTTCCAACAACTAGAAGAAAACTCAGACAACAATATGGCACAATTACGAATTAAAGTGGAACTCCAACAAGAACTCGGAGAATGTTAGTCAAGACAGAATAATCTTAAAAGGAGACGTGCGAAGAGAAATAAAAATGTGTGAATGTATTGCTCACGAACTTGACATTGATGAACCTGCTATTTATTTAGAACGTGTGCAGGTCACAACAAATAAGTGCTAAGTCCACCGTAACCAAGACAGAGAATGGGTTTACGAGCTCAAAAAAAAGGAAGAACATCAACAGTGCAATCACAGAAGATTATTTTGTGATGGTCCGAGAGAAAAGAAAGAAATTGAAAGGCGGTTGTCGTCGCGCCATGCATGCGTGAGATATGTGGATCTCATATATGGGACTTTGACTGTTGTGCAGATCAACGAGTACAAACTGAGACGTTACCAAGCTTTAATTAGGTATTTTTAGGTGATTGAGAGGTATGGAAGGAGTCACTGGCGGTAATTAGTGCAGGTCGCGCCAAGGTCAAACCTCCTACTGATTAGAAATGCGTATTGCGTTGTGGGAAAATCAATGTTTACCATCACAAATGTCTCACATGCGCAGCGTGACGACCACCGCCCTTTAAGCTATTGAGGAAGTAAAAATGCTTCTTCACAGTGCGACAACTGATACTTGATCGCAAATGTTCACAATAAGAAATCTCGTTAAGTATTTATCAATCTTAAATTAAATGTTTACAATCGTAATGTTAATCATAACTTTACTTCATACGCCAGAAATAAAGGTCTCGTATTAATATCTTTCAAAAGTCCCAATCTAACATATTAGTATTTTTACAGACGACAATACCGATGTTAATCATGTTTCTCCAACAATTATCAGTGCTGATTCATATAATAGTATTTTTCAAGTAATGGCCGTAGCTGCCATCTTTATTCTTCTCTAAATAATAATAGCCATAATCATAGTTCTAAAACAAATACATGTATCAGTAATAATTCTAATCATTAAATTTCAACAAATGATAATAACTTTGACACCATGTGACGCCGATGTAAATATATCTGCTGGAATGTGAATATAACATCTTCAAAATAGGATAATAAAGACTTCATTAACTACTTGGGAAATTTTTAGTTTTTCATACTGGGTTCATTTTTACATTTCACTCTTACACTAGCTTATCTATCCCTTTTAGTCGTCCTCCGGGAGGATGTAAGTGTCTTTAATAAAGATTTTAAAAATTCTGTAATCTCTAGTCAAAGGTCAGGTACTAAACCAATTTTGTTTTAGTTTAATACATTTATTCCTGTACGTAAGTCTTGCAACGTGGTATCCATGCCTGTTGATGAGTTGTGTAAGAGATACTCTCAAGATCTGTTTATTAAAGGGTGGTGGTCGTCGCGCAGCGCGTCTCCGAATTTCATGTAAACAAACAATGTATTTTACACGAGTTGTGTACGTCACTATGAGTCCCATATCGAACTGGAGCTGGCAAATGGGAGATTGTTTGATGATAAACAAATTGGTCATTATATTTATGGTGATTATGGTTCTGGTAGTGTTATAGATTATGATGTGAATATTTTGATGAACGACTCCATGTCCAATCAGATTTGTCCAATTTTAAAATTGTATAAAATGGTGTCCCATGTATGTGTGCGTAACTACGGCGTCGTCCGTCATTGTGAAAAGGTTCTCTATACAGCCACGGCTACTAGTCACCATTATCGCCACGTATCACAACAAATGCTTTGCATTAGTAACCAACCATGGATCACCGTCAGTACCAATGAAATGGTCCGAAAACACGTCTGAAAAACAGTTGATGACATTTTGGGACTTATTGTGTAATTTATTTTGGGACGAAATTGGCAGGTGTTCGGTCAAAATTCAACAAAACGAAAACAAAAATCTACGTGCAATGTATACCGTTATGTCTTGTCAGAGTAAAACGTTAAACACAATCGACCCTGACCGTACCCACAACATACTAGTAAGTCAACATTTTTGACAACGTTAGATGGGGATTAAAAACAAGACAAAAAATGTGGAAAAACACAAGGGCCACGGCAAAATACGATGTAGTAATATGTATGTTTCATAAATCATATGAACAACATAATAACGTACCAAACATGATATTTTAGTTTTGAAATAACTAAATTATTAAACAAATATAAGTGTCATATCAACCAATGGTAATGTTTCGAAACACAAAGAAAACCTGACTGCTATGAAGGACATCTCAGTCGTGTTGATATCATTTGATCCTGAATCACGAAATCTATCAGTTGTTGATCGTGTTACTAGTATTACATTTAGGAAGCTGACATCAGTATGTTCATCTATTGAGCGTCAATGTTTTACCTCAATGTCGTTATTACAGTGTAGGTCAATGTAATGCATATTTTAGTATGCAAGTACATATTTCCTGCGTTCGTATTTACACCCTGGTCGCATTTTTGCATTAGCGTGACTAATACTCCACGGCCACTAACTCAAGGTTTTTGTTGAGCTTTAGTATAGTGATTTTTGATTTACGCATATATAAAACGAAATTACATTAACGAACGTGACTGATAACTTTTACTATAAAAACCTTAGCATCCCGTTGGCAGGCCAGTGACACTGGTTCTCACTACAAGAGGTTACGATCCCCCTGCCAAATGCTAAGGAAAACTGAAACGTATATATTTACATAAAATATTGTCCACCTATGCGGATCTGTTGGTGCAAGGTTTTTATGACCGTATGCCCTTACTGACGTCAACCAAACATTTTATGTGGGAAGTTGGTACCCAAGGCTGACAGGTACTACACCTTGCCCAAGGGTGGCCTGGAGGTAGCTGTGGCAAAGGGTAACCCCATTCTCCCAAATCCATAGACTCCACAACCGGATGTAGTTTAAAATCTTGCCCAGGATAAATATATACATAATTAAATGACCATACACGTTTCCTTTGTCAGGTAATACCTCACATTTGACGTTGAGTTGGTGCAAGGTTTTTATGACCGTATGCCCTTACTGACGTCAACCAAACTTATTATGTGGGAAGTTGGCACCCAAGGCTGACAGGTGCTACACCTTGCCCAAGGGTGACCTGGAGGTAGTTGTGGTAAATGGTAACCTCATTCTCCCAAGTCCATAGACTCCACAGCCGGATGTAGTTTAAAATCATACCCAGGATAAATATATACATATTTAAATAACTGTAAACGTTGCCTTTAATAGGTAATACCGCACACGTGAGGTTAAGTTGGTGCAAGGCTTTTACGACCGCTTGCCCTTACTGACGTCAACCGAACTTGTTATGTGGGAAGTTGGCACCCAAGGCCGACAGGTGCTACACCTTGCCCAAGGATGACCTGGAGGTAGTTGTGGCAAAGGGTAACCTCATTCTCCCAAGTACAAAAACTCCACAACCGGATGCAGTTTTAACGTCATGCCCAGGACTTTGACAAGTTGACAAACAGAAGTGTGAAAACGACTTCTGAACCATAACAGTTTTCACAATTGGATTTGTAATTTTTCATTTTCTAAGGAACAAAGAGCGTCATTTGTAGTCCAAATGTATTCGAACCTGTCCTCCTGTTTCACAAGTTTGAAGTACTGGTACTCAGATTTAATTCTGCTGGTGATGCGAGTTTTGAAAATTTCCAATGGATCCACAAAAGCACTTCACTTTGCTTTAGTATAGTATAGTATATAGTTGTAACAGAATGCCGGATTGAAAAAAAATGGATACTCTTCATAGTATCTTAAGTAATGAGTTGCCTAGCGTGACTAACCAATCTGTGGTGTTTAGGATATACGAGTGCACTTAGGTAAACACTTAAAGCAGAGGGGTCGTCACCTGCGCACGGCGCGGGAATGACGACGATGACGACTCCCCGCTTTATATTAATTCTGTTACTTTTGCTGATATGTGACATTTTCTAAATTAAATTCGCATGGACATATACAATCACAAATGAACTTTGACTCGGAAAAATCGTGAGAAGACGAATGTGTTTAATAAATATAAATTGCCGCTCTGGGCTCCTCGAGGAGAATGTAACTAGAATGGTTCCAGATGAAATATGTCAAAATTTATTTACATAGCTTCCAGGCTAGATGGAAGGTCGATGGGACGGTGGCCTATATATATTAATAAACGTATAATCGCTCTAGTAAGTGTACAATGACTTGCATTTTTGTTTATCTTATCGAGCGTCTTCCCGAGAGGGAATAGTGAGAAACGAAAATTCCAGAAGTCACTACTCGTTGCCAGAAACGTATGCTTCAAACTCCCAAATTCGCAAACTATCTTTAAATAAACATGAACCTTCATTTTACTCATTTATTTTCATAAATATTGTCGAAATAAAATATTCTAGAGGCACTCCATCTTGGTAAAAATGCAGGACAACGCACACTTTATTGACCAATCAGCGTGCAGACGTCAGCTGTCTGGGACGAAACTCCATCAGTGTTTTTTGCCTCTTCGTACAAGAAAGACCATTGGAGGATTGGACCGGCAGTAACGTATTCCCCACACCGTCTGGACATCATGTAAATTTCCGGTTCCTGCTCGCTAAGCTCACGGTTCCACATGTTGAATTCGAACAGCTCTCCTGTGAAGCGCCCAAGACTAACACTCTCCACCCCAGATAACGTTAGATCCGAGTTGAAACGCGGTCGGGTGATCATCAGCCCTTCATGGTAGATCCTGAATAGGGTTGGAGATGTCGCTAGCGTTCCACTGATGCAGATGTGATGCCAGGCGTTGTCAGTTACCTTAGAAGGGTCTGTTATCAGGTAGGAGTACCATTCGTACTCCGCACCCCCAAAAGTATCCACGAGTAATTTGAAATTGGTGAAGCCTATTCGCTGAATATCGTTGGCTAAGGTGGACTGGCGTGTTGTCAGCTGGAATATTGTAGTGTCATACCAATACGATGTCTTCAGCCACATACATATAGTCAGCGCAGAAAAACTGACATCGGATAAATCAGAATTCACAGCTAGTTCGGCAACGGATGATGTGAACGTAAGCTTGTTTGACGCTGAAATAGGAATATAAAACTATATATATATATATATATATATATATATATATATATATATATATATATATATATATATATATATATATATATATATATATATATATAGTGTGAAACTAACCGTGAATTCCGATTAATCCATTCGTTACATAGAGCGAGGGGGAGATAGGGAGAGCAAAACACTATTATTATATTCGGTGGAATTTCACCAATATGCAAGCATAAATCGAATGATACATCAAATAATATTTGTAGATTGCTTTGAAAAAAGCAGTATTAAACCTATGAATGTTGCTTTTCGGAAACATATTATTTTGCTGGTGTTGTCTTTGTTACGGTTTTGAAGCCAATAATTTAACAACAATGTAACAATGTTGCTTGGCAACGTTGTAGCTACCTTTTATCCTCATTGCCAAATCAAGACGGCATTTCAGTTAGTCGGAACACCCAAGTTGTTTACTAATATCTCAATAAATTAAAATTTTTGACAAATAATAGTCAATTTGCCCCTCCCCGCATTTCCAATGACACAATAATATGCATTTCTAAATGTATATACTTTAATTGGTTTGAACCACCTTTGATTCCTTGGAATTCATCTGTGACTTCCATTAAATGCGATAAATGCAGTCCGGAACAAGGACACAGCAATTAGTAATATTAGTTCTAACGGAGTAGTTTTCTCTCACGAATTTAGTTATAAATTCTCTGTAAATTATTGACTTTTGTTTGTTTCTCATTGTATCGAATATTTCTTTCTTCCTTTTTTTCTTCAATTGTGACAGTCTTGACATTTTATAGGAACACAGTAATCATATATCAGTTGCCAATAAACTGCAACGATTCACTCAAGTTGTCGTGTAGTATTATGTCAGAGACTAGATGATATCCCCGATAAATAACAATACAATCACCAGAATAAGCATACATATGCCCAACTCCGTTACATTTTATTATAATAGATATACTGACCCAGTGAGCAGACAGACTCTTCGTCTCTATTAGGGCATTGACATTGTCCACGTGCAGGTAAAATACAAACACCATCGGTAAGGCAGCTGTTTACGTCGCATTCGTCATTGGCTGAAAACAAACAAATGAGCAGCGCATCATAAGGGACGCTGTAACAAAAATGCAAATGAAAATCTCACTGAATTTCATTAAATTTAACTTATTGTAACTAATTACAATTAAACTGTAATTAAATTGCATTCCCATATAGGATTGCATTTAAAATGAGTGTGATAAAATTGCATTCCTATATGCAACTGTAATATACTTAAGTCGAATTTAAAAGATAAACTCAAATTACAAATTGCATTCCCATGTAATTAAATTGATTTTAACTAAATTGCAGTTTAATTTAAAATTACGGAACTTAAATGAGTTTAACAAGATTGCAATTTAACTGAAATCAAAATCGCGGTTTAGTGGACTGGTGGTCGGTGGGGTGGTACGGCGCGGTTGTTCGAAAACAGCGGAGTACACTCACCACAAAAATCAGATTTGTTCTGCTGGATATTCTCCATATTTGCACCGTCACCAAAGAAGGCCGACCAGGGCACTATATTTCCTTCTACTATGTTGTAACACTGCTGTGCCATATCAGCGATAACTGCGTCATCTAACTTGACGTCCCACATGTTGAACAGCGCCATCTCTCCTACATACATCGAAGCGAGCCCTCGTTCAACAGTTGGGCTATAGCCAAGATATAGTTTGCCTCCCCCGAACATACGCTCAACATGTCCGTCTCCAATTATAGTACCCACGCCATCCACATACACCCACCGTCGTCCTTTACCAATGGCACCAACCCAAGCCATGCAGACGTGGTGCCAAAGACCGTCACGGTGTATCCGGCGGAACAGAGCAGCGCCACCACCGCCACGATAGCGAGAGTGACCTATACTATCGATGTACAATGTTTTTGCATAGCATTTCTGACGCGTGGACAGTTCAATCACATCTTCGTTTTGGTAATGTACTAACACAGTCTTTTCGTTGTAGTCAATCTCGAGTGACGTCTTCATCCAAAAGCACCACGTGAGTTCGGTCAACTCTGGAATACTCCCGCCCTCATAGGTGACAATTGAAGAACCATTGAAGGCGATTGTAGTTTCATTTGGACCTGCATTTAAGATCAATAAGGTGAATTTTTGTCAGATTATGTTCCAACAAAATAGTAAATATGACGATATATATATATATATATATATATATATATATATATATATATATATATATATATATATATATATATATATATATATATATATATATAGGCATAAAGTACTGAAAATAATTTCCTCAATGTTACATATTACAATTGATTATTTAGGAGCAAGAGTTTCATAGATAACAGAAGGGTATACAGATCTAGAATAAATTAGTATGACCAGAACCACATCAGCTTACAAGTTTTCACATTTATTGTCTCCTCGTTCTGGATTCAGTGAAGCGTTATTTCCAATTAGCATTTCTAGACGATCTAAAGATTTGTGATCATGTATTATTGATTCCCCTGCACTATTGTATAAATTTATAGTGTCCAGTGTTCCTGATAATGTAACTACTGTTAGGATCAGGTAATTTAAGAATATACTACAACTCTTATGACTTAAGTTAATGATTCAAGTGGCCATTATTCGACTAGTTTTTAAGATATCTCATTGAAATACAAATGTTCCGTGTAGAACGACAGTGTTTAAACTGACACCCAGTCAATGCATTCATTAGGCTTCCATTAAAGATCCGATTGGATTTCACACAAAAAATACACCCATTTTTCCAATGTCTGAGTGTTTCTTATGTCCTATACAAATAACTGAAATACGACATGGTTTAATTCATATTGGACTCGGAAATCACATGGCGATTTAGCAAATAGCTGGAAATGTGTTTCTAGTTGACCACAATTAATTTTCCTGCTGTCTAGGTTATTTTTGCATATGTGTAGCACGAACCTTCTAACGTTTTCTCCGATGTTCATTTGTTATCACTAGGAAACTCTGTATTACATAGATTACTAAACATCACGATGAACAGAACGGACACTTCACAAACGCCTTTAAGTAATAAAGAACTTGACAGTCAAAGTGGCAATCGTTTTATAATCGTGATTATGTGTTGTTTTATGTTATTGTTTTAGACACAACTGCATGAGCAAAGTGACCCCAAACAAGGCATAAAAAGCCACATAAAGCTGAAAGCCGCCATCTCGTTGAAATCTGTCACGTGATGGACCCGAGAAAAATGATGATGCACGACGCACATTATTATGAGAAATGACGCATAAAATCATTACTGATAGGCCGACAGAGAGAGGCTTAGCCCCCCAAAATGGCGACGTATTTAACATTTCGTCCAGGGCACGGTAGGTTGTTATCTTGTGCAGTAATCCCTGCGGTTTGCTTGACTAAACTGGATGTCGATAGGTGTCGCTCTCTAGACACAACCCTGTGCCATATAACACTTATAACACTTGCAAGTGGTTTAAAGTAAAACGTCGCTATATGCTATTATTCCATTGATCACATTTCGACGATGGCAGTTACCAATTGGCATTAATTACACAGAAAAAAAGATCGATACTTACAGCTATATTCCTAATATGGTAGTTTATTTTCTTATTTAATTATTGTGGTAATACTGTCTTGTGTCTTAGGTCATTCGACTTGCCGCGATTCGCAGGTCCGCGTACGTACTACCGCGAGGGGAGCATGCGCCCAAGATGTGTATTGTATTATGCAGAACAACCGAAGAGGGCGATGTACAAAGTGAATGCACATCGTGACGCAGCCTGGTCGATGCGCCGAATGTGGATTAACCAATCGTGTTTACCTACTATTTGTTTAATGTTTGTATGTCAGCATTGACTAAGTATATCTGAAAATTAGCACATTATCCTTGTGATGACATCATTGCACTTACTGCACAATGTCTGCAGGCAGTTGGATACACGAATATTATTACTTCCAGACCCTTCACCAAATCCATTATGACGCCGTGGGGGATTCGGTAATGTTATTATAAATCACCTCCACGAGAATTAAATTTAGGTCATTGTGGGGGATTTTTGTTTAAATGAATGTACTTGCGAATAGAGTTTTACATTTGATTATGTGCGATAATGCTGTGCCATGACGTCATAAATACCTCTAATTATGATAGTGATATATAACACGCAATAATGAACAGTGCGCCATCCTTTATTCTCTAAATAACTGGCTGACTAGCCCGGCGTGTAGGCGTGAGTGACGCCCTCGCCGACCGAACGGCATCAGTGTTGGGTTTAGAGCACCGCGGGGGCGCAACTCACGCGACCTTGTCAGGCTACTCGCTGACTTGTCCCAAATAGCAACCGACTATTCTACCACACGATATATTTACTGGGAAATTTTGCTCAGATTTTGCGACGTGGAAACCCTCGACTAGCGTAAATAACATTGAATAAAATAGTATACAGTTATTGGCCTCGCCTGAGTCCCATATCAAGAATTATCGTCCCCAAGTTACTTCGACTCCGGCTAATAACATCCACTTGGGACGATAATTCTTCATAGTATTGTATCATTTAATCCCGAAAACCAACAATAGAACAGTAAGCGGGATAAAACTGTGAATCAAGACGCCAACTTTCCACACTAAAATCAAAATTAGCAATTAGTAGAGAAACGCATTTGGAAGTATCACCCAACCTTTTTACTGTTAGTGGCACTGCTGTCGACTCAGAAGTAAAAATAGTCACATAAATCATTTCACAATAACCCCCAAATCAAGTTACATACGGCTATGAACATATAGTGATTGCCATATTAAAAGCGCATGCGCATGTTTAACTGTCTTGTTGAAAGTTATTGTGAACGTGGTCTACTTAATATTTGGATCTGAGGTGTCTAGAAATCTTACTATGGACGCTGATTTCAATATCGTTACGTTGTTAGCAAAGCAGTGACCTATATCGCAATACTGATGCCCGGGCTGTTCTTGCGCCGCTAGATGTAACACGTAGAAAATAGAGTGAAACGATAACATATTGCGTTGGAATAATAGGCATTAAAATAGTAGTAAAATTTCAGCATCTGCAACTGAATTATTTCACAAAGTAGAATAAAAGACATCACACGAGATGTTTCTTACCGAGATTCCCCGTTTCGTCATGTTGGCATCCTGTCAGCTGTTGTTCGTCCTCGCATATCTCAAGCGAGTGCTGCACTCGCTGACGGTCTGTATCGCATCTCTCGTTGACAACACGCAGTTCCTCGATCTCATCAAGTTTGTCCGACAGCAACTGTTGCAGTTGGCGTTTCCCCGCCTCTAATTCATCCACCTTACCCAGATGGTCTACGAACAGCGCTTCAGCTCGCTCCAACTTTTCCGCCATTGTCTGTACCAGAAGCAACAGCGCGTCGTTATTGGGTGACAGTTCGCGAATGGCCGTGTCGATCTCTCTACATCGGTGCCCGTCAGACACAGGCAGCGAGAACGAGTAATCGCAATGCTCACTCCCTCTACACACGTCCGACATATTGCACCCTTCTTGCGCATTCGACGCATTATTGTAGAAAAACAACAGTGACAATGCTACGAATAGCGAATACACTCCTAGGACGTCGGCCATTGCTCACTCTGATTCCGGACTTAATATAAATAAACTCCCGACAGGAAGTCTTGAATGCCCTGTAAACAAACTCCAGGAAATTGGCGTACGTACTAACTGACTAATAAGGTTAGTCGTAAAAAGACGCCAACATTATATAGGTTTAGTCACAACTGTGCTTTAGTGGATCAGATGCAGAAAAAGTTAAAAACATCACTTTTTGAATCATGTATTTGATGAAAAAACTCACAATTATCTTTATTCTCATGTTTTCTTCAATGCCAGGAGAGACGACCTCGATTGGTTGGTGCAGTTATTCATTGACACGTCAAAGTCGTCATTTTAAAGATCCGTCGAAGAATGAAAACAGTGACTACATAACTCATCACCACAAGTCATACCGTAATATCCATATATTTTAATATCAAGTTAGCTATTTTATTCCAGAAACATTATTAGTATGTAAACCTCTGAAACATTACATTGTATTTATATTAATTGTTGCTAGCAAATTACAATGCACGATGCATTTGATGCGTACTTTCAGTTTATTTCCCAAAACCTAGATGTAGGTAAACATTCCACTGTTTATTAACATAATCAGACCACGTGACAGACTGAGGACAATTCGTAATGATTGAAGCTGGCTGGAAGAACATTAGATAAATTAGCCACGTGACACGTTATCGTCACTCACTTGAAATCGCTCACTTCTGTCACTTTCTTGGTGATAGTCCAGAACTTTTTCATAAAATAACGGGCCTCAGATCACTAATAATTTATTTGTGGTCCAAGAACAGGCTTAGTAGATCAAATACTTGTATGATCGAAAATACGTATATTTGACAATGAATTAATTGTTTATCCGCAGCTGAGTACGAAGAAACGTGTTATTGCATTTTAACGAAAACTGATTTTTGACTATCATCACTATAGTAATTTTCATCTTTCAACACTTCTCTTCCTGCTAATGTTTTACAAATTACACTATTTGGGTTAAAATTCGGCTAACACAATTAACTCTCATAGACGTCTTTGTGCACCTCTGATTTTGTAAAATACATGCAGCAGTAAAAAAAAAAAACACACATAGAAAGAAAGAACAGCGGGAAACCACCAATCGTGATAAAACATATCGATATATAGCTTCTGTAGCACAAGTTGCGTTCGCACACAATTCCCTAACACGGGCTAAGCGCTCAAAACGCCATTGTAGTCAGTTTTAATTTGAAAGATTACTATTATATTCATATCTATTCATTTCAATATGCAATTTCCTCCATGTCAATCAACGTGAGCAGATCCAGGGACATTGTTCTCAAGGAAAAATAAACTGACGATGAGAATCTGTACTTCTTGCTATTCTGCAATTTGTACTTTCTGAATTTGATATAGTTTCATAACCATAATACTAACATGTGTACTTTCCTGGTCACTGTACTGGGTAATCATATTTAAAAAGGACTAAACATTTGTATATTATTAACAAATGTGGGCGTTCCTTAGCCTAACCGCTGTTCCCTCTGTCTAGCTAATATGTAAATATAAGGGATTAGCCCGTAGTTGATGTAGCCTGAACACAGCTTTATTCTCCAAAGTAAACACTAAAGCGCGGTAGTCGTCGCACAGCGCATGTTCCGAATTACATGTAAATAAACAATGTATTTTACACGCGTTGTATACGTCGCTATGAGTCCCATATCGAACAGGACGCGGCACGATGACTGTCGCACTTTAATACAAAAAGTAGCCGATCGTACTCTCCTATATACTAGTATCCCAGTTTTCTGAAAACATGTCACACGCTTAGTAACTGACGGAAAATTCTCTAATCGCAATTACACTATTTCTCGTTTTCCTCCTCTCGCTATTTTAAATGTATATTATGAATGTTTGCTCTTTGATGTAATTAAAATAGGATTTAAAAAAAAATATTTCGTATTACATCATCTTATTTTCGACATATCCATTTTGTTAATTTAGAATCCATCTATGCTGTGTGTATTCAAGGCAGCAGTCGTCGCACCGCGTCCTGTTCGATATGGGACTCATAGCGACGTATACAACACGTGTAAAATACATTATTTACATGAAATTCCAACACGCGCTACTCGACGACCACCGCGCGCTTTCAATCCAGAGTTACAAATACCAAATAGAACATGATAAAGATCGCTGATAATTGGAGTATAGTTGCAAAGCAATAAACAAGAAAACAATGATTTTATTTTCTAAATTCTTCACTTAAAAAGTTATTTCTACAATCAATCTAACAATCAAATGCTTATTTTTTAAATATATTTCTATTTGTACACCCAGCTCAAACAAAACCAGTATCATCGCTTTAATATTGATACTCTATCGCCGCTGGATGCTGTAAGTTTACATAAAATTTTCAACTCAACATATAAAGCCATTGCTCGTTGGCACTCGGAGTGACATTTTTTTTTTGCTTTTTCGTACCCAGACAGTTTTGCCTAGGTAGCGTTAAAATTTCGGAGCATTGTCAATGCTGGAACATCCTGAAAACACGATTTTAAAATATAGGACACCGTGGCACGCGTATGTGATTAATAGTCCCGAAAGTTTGTTTACGTTGCTCTTGGATTGACAAGCCACTGTTGATGTTATATGCAAATCAGTTGCTGGCCTCAGTTACGGTGCGGCGATGTGTGACTTCCTGTCCTGGACCCTGTTTACATAACTCATGGAGTTCCGATTAAGGTATCCAAGAAAATAAATACAAATCAAATATACCAGGCTAAGTTGTCGACATGTTGCGGGATAAGGGTGAACAAGTTTACTCATCATTTACAACTGTATGTTTTTTTATTCCGCTTGCATGCTGGAAGCGTCTACGTCTTGGAAATAAGCCAATTAAGAGGCCTAAGTGGCCACTTCCGTTAGCACCTTCCAGTTAAGCCTAATCTCAAAACAAATTTACTTTCTGGATTAAAATAACAATGGATAACAAAAGATAGATTAACATTGTAAACAACACAAACAATAATGTGCCATGATTCTTTGGTGCAATCCATGGGATTGAGCGGTTCCCCTTTAACTCAAGCGCTATCAACTAGCCTCGCAAACAGACAAGACGTAGACGCTTCCAGCATGCAAGCGGAATAAAGACTTACATACAGTTGTAAATGATATTTACAACATGTCGACAACTTAGCCTGGTATATTTAATTTTTTATTTATTTTCATATAGGAGGTGCGATGTCATCTTGGATACCTTAATCGGAAACCCCATGGTCAGCTAGCATGCACCGGTAGCGATGTCGCAAGGTACGTAGTGTGGCCGTGCTCGGCGACCTCTGGTACTAGGGCACTCTATGAATGAGTTATTTCCAAAGGTCAGGGATCGTTTAATTTTTATCGACCCTTCTCGTCTGTAGTTGAATACAACCTGCCTCAATTTACAAAAGTTTTCCTTTCATTTCGAATTTGTCCACACCGGCGTTTGAGCAATTGAGTAGTAAAAACTGCGAATAACCGTTATGTAGCAAAATATTACGGCCCATTTCATTTGGGTCGTCTAACTTCACATGGTCCATTTCACCGGGGATCACGGAAACTGTGTCATACAAAGTATTTTTTAAAGGTTTGGGGGAAGGTAAATTTAGACTCAACCCACTCAATGGAGATCGCCATGTTTATATAACTGTATGAATATCTCATCGGTTTACGTAATCCATTGTGCCCCCCCCCATTCAGTGGAATTGTTAACACGACGCCGTGATAGTTTCCACCCAAGGTTGTGACTTCGCGGACGATTTTTCGCCCGTTTCACTCGAATTGTAAATATTTTTATTTTATTTTTTTCTAGACGCATTTAACATCAGCAAATGTCGGTGTACGGTGTATTTCTATGACTTACTAGGATTTTACACATATGAAGCGAATCATTCGTTTTTATCACCTTTTTTACAAAATGGCGATTATCTCAGATTCAATTCTAACTCAAAATTTCAACTTTAAACTATTTAACTTTTAGACGGTTCATTTGTTTTTAATGAAATGTTCAGGGGTGATTATTGAGGTCTATTCTAAGTAAGTGGCTTCGTATATGGTTTCACTGTCTTCACTGCAACAGAAACAATGGAGCTGCAATTTGGCAGCTCTGTTAATTGTGAACAATTTATAAAATGTGAATGTTTCAAGGAGCACTGTGTAAAAACTTTTCAATGGAAACACTAATAAATAAGCCACTATGTTCCCGGTAAACAGGAGTTTCAATAAGTTTTAAATGTTTTTAAATCATAATCAGGGTATGCATTCAAAAGTTAACTAGTTTTAAGTGCACTTTCATCTAAAATGCATGATTTTAACCCAGAATTCACACCACTTAAGGTAGCAGAATAGTTTTTTGGGCACTTTTCACATTTTTTTTTGAAAATCACACGAATAGCTCCCTAAGGCATGCTACATACATGGGTGTATTTATTTTATTGAAAAAAAATATCTTGTACAAGTAAACTGATTTTTTTCTAGTGTGCAAACAAATGGCCAAGTTTTTGTTTATCCAGTGTACACCCAACTAGTGCATCTCATTAATATGCATGGTTTACAAACATAACTGAACTGAGGGTAAATATTTTTAAGTTGGGCCACTTTCTTTATTTGCTATTTACAAACAACTGATAAGATATCTGTTTGTAGTTTACACACAGCTGATAAGATGTGTGCACTGCTGCCTTTCTAGACAGGAAGTACAGCAAAGACAAAACAATCGCTTTAGAAACAACAAATTTTGAATAATCAAAAAAGTACATGAATGTACCACTTCAATGTAATTATATGTTAACAGAATAAAAACTTACAATACATTTCTGTAATATTTTTTTTCTT